CTATTGTTGCTGAGTCAATTGTAGCTGCTACTTCTGAGGGAGGGGTCTATTATTGCTGCTGCTGGGGATCTATTCTTGCAGAGGATCAATTTTTGCATGGGGTCTTTGTATTGTTTTTGCTGGAAAGGATCTACTGCTGACGGAGAGTCTATTGTTTCTGGCTGCTGCTGTGAGTCTATTGATGCTGGCTGCTGTGGATCTGTTGTTGCAGCTGGGGTCTTTTTTATTGCCGAGGGGGCAAGGGGTCTGTTATTGCTGGCTTCTGGGGGATGTATTGTAACTGGAGAGGATACATTTATGCATGTGGTCTATTGTTTCTGGGGAAGGGGGGGGTTGTGGTAAGTTGTTGCTGGAAGAGATCTACTTCTGAGAAAGGGGTCTATTGTTGCTGGCTGCTGGTGAGAGATATTGATGCTTGCTGCTGGGGGATCTGTTGTTGCTGCTGGGGGTCTTTTGTTGCTGAAGAGGTCAGTTGTAGCTGGAGGGGATATACTCCTGAGGGAGAGGTCTATTGATGCTGGCTGCTCTGGGAATCTGTTGCTGTTTCTGGAGTCTATCATCGCTGGGGTGGTATTTTGTTGCAGCAGTCCATTGTTGCTGGGGAAATCATATGTTGCTGGGAGGATCTATTGCTGCTGGCTGTGGGGGGTTCTACTTCTGCTTTTCTTGTTATCATTAACAAATTCCATACCACCACAAAACTAACCTTGGCTCTGTATTCTTTAAAAGGAGAGGCCCTTGTAGGTGGTTAGTGGGTAGAGACAAGGGATGGTCCTCGGAGGTGGGTAGTGGGTGAAGACAAGGGATGGTCCTCGGAGGTGGGTAGTGGGTGGAGAAAAGGGACGGTCCTTGGAGGTTGGTAGTTGTTGCAGACAAGGGATGGTCCTCAGAGGTGTGTAGTGGGACAATACAAGGGATGGTCCTCGGAGGTGGGTAGGGGGTAGAGACAAGGGATGGTGCTTGGAGGTAGGTAATGGGTGGAGACAAAGGACTGTTCTTGGAGGGGGGTAGTGGGTGGAGACAAGGGACAGTCCTTGGAGGTGGGTAGAGGGTGCAGACTAGGGATAGTCCTTGGTGGTGGGTAGTGGGTGGAGACAAGGGATAGTCCTCGGAGGTGGGTAGGGGTTGGAGACAAGGGACGGTCCTTGGAGGTGAGTAGTGGGTGGAGACAAGGGACGGTACTCAGAGTTATAGTACGTGGAGAAAAGGGATGGTCCTCAGAGGTGGGTAGTAGGTGGAGACAAGGGACCAGTCTTCGGAGGTGGCTAGTGGCTGGAGCCAAGGGACGTTTCTTGGACATGGGTAGTGGGACAAGAGAAGAGATGGTCCTCAGAGGTGAGTAGGGAGTGGAGACAAAGGACGGTGCTTGGAGGTATAGTGGGTGGGGACAAGGGACAGTCCTCGAAGGTGGGTAGTGGGTGGAGACTAGGGACGGTTCTTGAAGGTGGGTAGAGGGTTAAAACAAAGGACAGTCCTCGGAGGTGGGTAGTGGGTGGAGACAAGGGATGGTCCTTGGAGGTGTGTAATGGGTGGAGACAAGGGATAGACTTCGGAGGTGGGTAGGGGGTGGAGACAAGGGACAGTTCTTGGAGGAAGGTAGTGGGTGGGGACAAGGGACAGTCCTCGGAGGTGGGTAGTGGGTGGAGACAAGGGACGGTCCTCACAGGGGGTAAGGGATGGAGACAAGAGATGGTCCTCAGAGGTGGGTAGTGGGTGGAGATAAGGGATGGTCTTTGGAGGTGGGTAGTGGGTGAAGACAAGGAATTGTCTTTGGAGGTGGGAGGAGACAAGGGATGGTCTTCGGAGGTAGGTAGTGGGTGGAGGCAAGGGATGGTCCTCAGAGGTGGGTGGAGACAAGGGACGGTTCTTGAAGGAGGGTAGAGGGTTGAAACAAGGGACAGTCCTTGGAGGTGGGTAGTGAGTGCAGCCAAGGGACGGTTTTTAGATGTGGGTAGTGGGTGGAGACAAGGGATGGTCCTTGGAGGTGAGTAGGGGGTGGAGGCAAGGGATGGTCCTTGGAGGTGGGTAGGGGGTGGAGACAAGGGATAGTTCTTGGAGGTGAGTAGTGGGTGGAGACAAGAGCCAATCCTTGAAGGTGGGTAGCGGGTGCAGACAACGGACGATGCTCGGAGGTTGGAAGTGGGTGGAGACAAGAGCCGGTCCTTGGAGGTGGGTAGTGGGTGGAGACAAGAGATGGTCCTTGGAGGTGGGTAGTGGGTGGAGACAACGGACGGTGCTCGGAGGTTGGAAGTGGGTGGAGTCAAGCAGTGAGTGGGGAGTTGCTAGCCCTGTAAAGATGCAACCAACACATTAAACATGGCTTCCAGGCGCGCGCGTCACTCCGATGACCCAGACGCTCTCTCGTTATGTTTTCCCTTTCTATTGTAACGAGAAGTCATAAAAAAAAAGGAAAAACAAATCCGTTGGAATGTTGCAGAGCGAAGTCCGCCCTCTGCTCGGCGACTCCCTGAAACACAAAGTTTTGGGTGGAGCCGCAGCGGGAGCCCAGATGCTGTCACTGGAGCTGGGAGAAAGTCATAAATTCTAATGGGCTCCAGCTGGACTCACGCATGACATCATCGTTCGCGGCGCTCACCCTCCAGGATCTGCTTCTGTTCCCAAGGAATGGTGTCATGGGAAGCGGCTCCTCGCTGAAGTCACAACGGATGGCTGCAGACAGTTTGGCGCGGAGTTCTGCTGTCTGCATGGGGCAGATATGGATCTGACAGTGTGTGGCTGAGCGTTACATGCTGAGATCTGGAGGCAACCAATTCTTCGGCTACGGCCATGCTACAGGACATGGGACTGAAACGGCGGGGGCGGACTTTGAAACGGCTTGCCCAAGGGCCCGGGGTCAGTCAGAGTGTCCCCTAGGGGCGGGCCCCATGACCATTTGCCTGGGGGCCCCAAAATTCAGGCACTGCCCAAGGGCCCGGGGTGCAGTCGGCAGGGGCGGCCCCATGAGATGCTCAAGTTTCCTTGCCCAAAAAAAAGCCTTAAAAAAGTACCCCTGGGGCATCTCATGGGGCCCCCTACTGACCAAATGGTCAGTCCACCCCTGATTCGAAGCCTCAGTCAGACACAATTCCTTCCATGGCTGGAGGACAACCAGCATCATCTAGCACTTTCCTCCATAGCCTGACTGTCCCTGGCACTGCCCCCTTTCACTCACTGGATTTCAGTTCTGTCAGTCATAGAGCTCAGAATCCTGCATGCAAAACCAGACTGGCTAGGAACGCCCACTCCTCCAGGCTGACACCCATCCATCACGGTATTTGCATAACTCCTCCCAAGAGCCCGCCCACAGCTTTGTTGCAGCTGTGTTACTGGCCGTTTTTTTTTTTTCTGTTGCAGCCTTCTTTCTGTTCCTGTAGCCTGCTGACACGGGGTGCCTGGGCCCATAACCTGTGGTGACTTCTTGCTGTTTGACATGTGACTCGTAGCTCCCGAATCAACACACCAAGCCTGCAAAGATGAGGTGCAACTTTTGTATCAAGAGGACTACTGAGGCAGGGTGTTGTGAGGATCTGCCTGCATTGCATAGAGAAGCACAGAGGCCCAGTGATGATGTCACTGAGTCTAAAAAGAAGGTATGCAATGAAAGCAGGAAGGTTTTATTGAACTGCTTCCACACTATGGGGTAGGAGGGACATCTGAAAATGGGTTACGGGGGCCGTGACTGCAGCCATGAAACCGGTATCAGGGTTTGTAGCCGGCGATCCTGAAAATGGTAAAAGCAATCCAAGTGACCAATAAAGCTGCAGGATTGCCTTTACATGCGACGGGAACGGGACGGACCACCCACGCCACCTTCCCAGGCTCTTCCATTCTGCCAGCTTACCATAGAGATGATCGAGGAACGGAGCGCCCCCCATCACCTCTATGGTCTACGGGAAGCAATGAGCGTTCTGTCACTCCCGGTTCACCGGCTGGCGAAGCAGCCAATCAGACTGATCTGTTTCAGTCAGCCCGGGTTCACATACATGCGGTGTGGGATATCGCATGTGATTCGCACAGGAACCGCACCACATTCCTGCGCAAATCACATGTGAATTCTGTGCGGTGGGATCGGAGTCGTACATGTTGTAAGGATCAAATTGCACCGCACCCGCACCAAAAATGTGCAGGACCCTTTTTTTTTGTCCGCACTAGAATTGGATCGCATAGGTATTCACACCCATGCCATCCGATTCTGCAAATCGCTTTCAGGGTGTTGTTAACCACCTTCCTGTCCGGCCCATGTATATAAACGGCCCCCCTGCTTGTGCGCACTCCCTGTGAGCGCACAGCACCTCCATCCGGTGCCTGCTGTGTCCTCCAGACACAGTGGAACACCGATCGTCGTACGGACCTCTGTGTGAGGTCCCGATCATGTGATCACTGATTGGTCTTCAACACAGGTGACCACCCCCTCCTCCTCAAAAAACTACACCCCCTCGGCCTCAGAGACTCTGCTCTCTCCTGGCTCTCATCCTACCTGTCACAACGCTCCTTCAGCGTTACCTATAATGCCACCACCTCCCCCTCACTCCCCCTCTCTGTTGGGGTCCCCCAAGGCTCTGTCCTCGGGCCCCCTTCTCTTCTCCATCTATACCTCCTCCCTTGGTCAACTCATACACTCTCACGGCTTCAACTACCACCTCTATGCTGACGACACACAAATCTATCTCTCAACCCCCCACCTCACCCCCTCGGTCTCCGCCCGAATCACACACCTACTGAGCGACATATCAGACTGGATGTCGCTCCACTTCCTTAAACTGAACCTTTTCAAAACCGAGCTCCTAGTCTTCCCCCCAGACCCCCCACCCCCTACTGACTTCTCCATCACGTCCAACAATGCCACCATCAAACCCGCCCCGCAGGCCAGAGTACTTGGTGTCATTCTGGACTCCAACCTATCCTTCCAGCCCCAAGTCCAATCTTTAACAAACTCGTGCAGACTCCACCTCCGCAACATTGCCAAAATCCGCACGTTCCTAACCCCAGAAACCACTAAACAGCTCATCCACTCCCTCATCATATCACGACTCGACTACTGCAACTCCCTCCTCACTGGCCTGCCCCACCACAGGCTATCCCCGCTTCAGTCCATCCTGAATACGGCAGCCAGACTCATTCACCATTCCAACTGCTCCATCTCCGCCACCCCCCTCTGCCAATCCCTCCACTGGCCTCCATTCAGTGTCCTCCACCCCCCTCTGCCAATCCCTCCACTGGCCTCCATTCAGTGTGTCCTCCACCCCTCTCTGCCAATCCCTCCACTGGCCTCCATTCAGTGTCCGCCACCCCCCTCTGCCAATCCCTCCACTGGCCTCCATTCAGTGTCCTCCACCGCCCTCTGCCAATCCCTCCACTGGCCTCCACTCAGTGTCCTCCACCCCTCTCTGCCAATCCCTCCACTGGCCTCCACTCAGTGTCCTCCACCCCTCTCTGCCAATCCCTCCACTGGCCTCCATTCAGTGTCCTCCACCCCCTTCTGCCAATGCCTCCACTGGCTTCCGATTGCGCAACGGATCAAATTCAATATCCTAACACTGACGTACAAAGCCGTGTCCACCATACTGCCCCGAACTACATCACTGACCTAATATCCAAGTACCACCCAACATGCACACTCCGCTCCTCACAAGACCTCCTTCTCTCTAGTTCCCTGGTCTCCTCCTCCCATGCCCGCCTCCAAGGACTTCTCCAGGGTATCACCCATCCTCTGGAACTCCCTGCCCCAACCCATCAGATTATCACCTACTCTCCTCTCCTTTTAGGCGCACCCTGAAAACCCATCTCTACAGGGAAGCCTACCCCACCCCCTGCTAATTCCCGACCTCCTCCACTCTTCCTACCACTCCATCCCCCACAGCTATCTCCTCCTGTGCCGCCATCCCCTCCCACCTAGATTGTAAGCTCCTAGGAGCAGGGCCCTCAATCCCCTCATGTTTTGCATTGTATTGGTATTGTTCTGTCACATGTTCTGTCCCCCTTTGTAATGTACAGCGCTGAGCGAACTATTGGCGCTTTATAAATACTGTATAATAGTATTGGTACAAATGTTATCATTAAATTATTATTCAATATTTATAATATTTTTCTGAGGTCTGGTACTGGTGTTGGAGTGTTGGAGAAGACCTGGCTCACAATTGGCATTCCAATTTATTTAAAAATAGTATATAATAATGGAGGGCAGCACAGTGGCTAAATGGATAGCACTTCCGCCTGGCAGTACTCGGGTCATCAGTTCAAATCCCGACCACGGCACCACCTGCCTGGAGTTTGCATGTTCTCCCTGTGCCTGCGTGGGTTTCCTCCGGGTACTCCGGTTTCCTCCCACTCTCCAAAGACATGCTGGTAGGTTAATAGGCTTCTGTCTAAATTGGCCCTAGTATGTGTATGTATGAATGTGAGTTAGGGACCTTAGATTGTACGCCCCCTGAGGGTTAGGGACTGATGTGAATGTACAATATATATGTAAAGCGCGGAGTAAATTGATGGCGCTATATAAGTACCTGAAATAAAAAAAATATAGTAATATTAATAATAATACTAAATTAGGAATAGTAGTAGTAATATCAATAAAAATAGTACTAATAATGAATATTATATTAGTAGTATTAATAATATAATAATAATAATAACAATAATACTGCTAATACAAATAGCAATAATAATAGTGTTAAGAAAAATATTATTAAATATTACATTGTTAAAACTTTTACATTATTATTATTAATCATAATAAATATTAATATAATTTTTCTGAGATCGGTTCTGATGTTGGAGGAGAAGACCTGGCTTACAAATTTCCAATTCATTCCAAAGGTCTTCCGTAGGGTTGAGGTCAGGGCTCTGTAGTGGCAATCCAAGTTCTTCCACACCAAGCTGGTCATCCATGTCTGTATGGAGCTGGCATTGTACATGGGGGACAGTCATTGGGGAACAGAACCGAGCCGTCACCAAACTGTCACCACAAGTTGGGAGCTCAGTTGTCTTTGTATGTTGTAGCTGAGTTCCGAGTACGGGAAATGTGAAATAATTATATTGGAGCGGGGTCGTGTACCTTGGAGCGGTGTCGGTGTACCTTGGAGCGGGGTCGGTGTACCTTGGAGCGGTGTCGGTGTACCATTGGAGCGGTGTCGGTGTACCTTGGAGCGGGGTCGGTGTACCTTGGAGCGGGGTCGGTGTACCTTGGAGCGGGGTCGGTGTACCTTGGAGCGGTGTCGGTGTACATTGGAGCGGGGTCGTGTACCTTGGAGCGGTTGTCGGTGTACATTGGAGCGGGGTCGGTGTACCTTGGAGCGGGGTCGGTGTACATTGGAGCGGTGTCGGTGTACATTGGAGCGGGGTCGGTGTACATTGGAGCGGTGTCGGTGTACATTGGAGCGGGGTCGGTGTACATTGGAGCGGGGTCGGTGTACATTGGAGCGGGTCGGTGTACATGGAGCGGGGTCGGTGTACATTGGAGCGGTGTCGGTGTACATTGGAGCGGGGTCGGTGTACATTGGAGCGGGGTCGGTGTACATTGGAGCGGTGTCGGTGTACATTGGAGCGGTGTCGGTGTACATTGGAGCGGTGTCGGTCAGTACATTGGAGCGGGGTCGGTGTACCTTGGAGCGGTGTCGGTGTACATTGGAGCGGGGTCGGTGTGTACCTTGGAGCGGGGTCGGTGTACATTGGAGCGGTGTCGGTGTACATTGGAGCGGGGTCGGTGTACCTTGGAGCGGTGTCGGTGTACATTGGAGCGGGGTCGGTGTACCTTGGAGCGGTGTCGGTGTACCTTGGAGCGGTGTCGGTGTACATTTGGAGCGGGGTCGGTGTACATTGGAGCGGTGTCGGTGTACATTGGAGCGGGGTCGGTGTACCTTGGAGCGGGGTCGGTGTACCTTGGAGCGGGGTCGGTGTACATTGGAGCGCTGTCGGTGGAGCGCGGTCGGTGTACATTGGAGCGGGGTCGGTGTAGATTGGAGCGCGGTGTCAGGTATATACACGCCACAGCGGAGGAAGCTGGAAATCGCTGTAGGGGGCACCACTGACTTCTGGGACCTGTGCTGAGCGGCTGCCCTGCCCTGCTACGCAGGGAACACAGGAGGTCACCTGCTAGGTATGGGGGCCATTCAAAGAATGATTTGCCTTTTGTCAATGAATGCAAAGCATTCTCTGATTGGGCGAGGTGGAGATTGCAACATCACTGGCCCGCCTCTCCACTTCGTCCAGTCAGGGATCACTTTCTATTTGTTGGGAAAATACGAAGTGTCCTCCTAATGGCAACCTTGTGGGTTCAATAAGCAGCAGGCATGGGACCCAGACAACAGTGGCAAACACGATAGTAGTGGTGCCTGCTGCAGTGATTCCCAGCTTCTACAGATATGGCACATAAATACTTACACCGGTCCAAGTAGGACCAATGTAGCTCATGTAGCGCTACCCCCGAAGGAGTCACTGTAGTTTAACAGGTTCTTTCCTAAAGCATCCAGGCACCCAGCAACAGTCCATCAACTCCGGCTCAATAAACAGTCTAGGGCAAGGGTGTCAAACTGGTGGTCCTCCATCTGTGGCCAAAAGACAAGTCCCATTAGGCCTTGCAAGGTTGACAGTTACTAGCCTGACTCCCAAAGGCAGAGGCACGATGGGACTTCGCAAAAGCTGGAGGGCCACCAGTTTGACACCCCTGGTCTAGAGGCTATCTTTTTTCATATTTATTGCTGAATATACTTGTAGGGGGGGTAGGGCGGTACGGGATATACTCTGGAAACGCTACATAGGAATCTTTGCCCCAGAACCCAAGTAAGACAGTCAGAACCGAGACCTTGCAAAGGCTATCTCAACCAGAGTCACCAATGGCACCCTCAGCCAAAGCACACCAGCACCCAGCCACCAGGTCCTTGAGCTCAGGTCATAGGAATCTTTACCCTGGAAGCTGGAGGGCCACCAGTTTGACACCCCTGGTCTAGGGGATATCTTGTTTTGTATTTATTGCTGAATATACTTGTAGGGGGGGGGGGGGGGCGGTATGGGATACTCCAGAAACGATACCCCAGAACCCAAGTAAGACAGCCAGAACCGAGACCTTGCAAAGGCTATCTCAGCCAGAGTCACCAATGGCACCCTAAGCCAAAGTACTCCAGCACCCAGCCACCAGGTCCTTGAGCTCAGGCCCGTACTCAGGAGAAGTTAATGCATGCAGTGCCACAGCACAGCTAGATGCTTTGGAACCTCCACTGGGCACTCTTCAGTGAGCTCTCCAGACCAGATCCTCAGCTCCAAGAAGATTTAGAAATAGGCCCCCAGCTATGCCTCAACTGGGACCTTGATTGAAGCAATAAAACTGCCACCCCCTCCCAGCCAGGTAGGTTCCAATCAAAAGGAAGACCCTGCTGTTCTAGAGTTCAGTCTATTTATATGCCTCCCCAGCCACCTGCTTGGCCCACCTCCTCAGGGATTGGTTGAAGTTCCAGGTCGCTCATTTGACTTTTCCAGCCCACTATGTTCTAGAAACATCTAGAACAGCCCAAAGCAACCAATAGGTGCTTCTATGATTACAGAGGAGCCAAAGAGAACTAAAGGTACCCAACCATCCCGCACCCTCTTTAGGAGGGGTACATCATGCATAAGTAGCCATATCGGGAATTCATCTTCAACAGGACCCTACTCTGGAAACACCATCATTTGGAGGGGGGTCCACATGCGTTTGGCCACATTGCGCCCTGTAGTGACGTAGGGATCGGAGGACGGGGTCACAAAACTTTTTTTTAAAACTCTGAGTAGGGTAGGGAATGGTTAAAACCCTCAAAAAAGAAAGGTTTTGTCTTTGACAAGTGTCCGATGGCGGCAGCCTAGCAGGGCGTCAGCCATTTTGTTCTCCACAGATGGCGATCTCACGGGCTGTGAGAGATTTGTGCGATTATTGAAGGTCGATTTTTCGGTGGAGGAGAATCTGCTTCCCGGCTCCCTTTCAGCTCGGGGTAATTTGATGCTAAGCATGCAGCTAACAAACGCTGATTATTTCCAGCTGAGCGCACCACCACTAAGCGCCAACCTTCCCGCGTTTCCCAGGGGGACGCTCATCAAGCAGGCCAGTCAGCCCTGCCGCAGCTCTGCGAGATTTCACATCCGTTTCCATGGCGTTCTCCTCGCTAAACGCCGCCGACTTACAGGCAGCAAAACACTCGTTAACTCTTACAGGACGAGACCTCGGAACGCCGGGTCATGTGAGGAGATGGAGGATGGATCGCTGGTACAGGTGATACTACACCACGGTCTATACAGGTGATACTACACACCACGGTCTGTGCAGGTGATACTACACCACGGTCTGTGCAGGTGATACTACACCACGGTCTGTGCAGGTGATACTACACCACGGTCTGTGCAGGTGATACTACACCACGGTCTGTGCAGGTGATGATACTACACCACGGTCTGTGCAGGTGATACTACACCACGGTCTGCGCAGGTGATACTACACCACGGTCTGCGCAGGTGATACTACACCACGGTCTGCGCAGGTGATACACACCACGGTCTGCGCAGGTGATACTACACCACGGTCTGCGCAGGTGATACTACAC